GTATTGTATTCTATTTAGTGTAGCACCATCTAGTGGCTGCATACGCAGATGCAGCCACCATTGTTGCTTCTTTGCACTTTATAATGCAGTGTGTCCTATATATGAAAACAATTTTAAAACAGGCCATTCATTGGAGTTGCACCTTATCGTACAGAAAATACGGTAACAGTTTCGAAGCACCACACACATTAAGATTCTCTGATGTCCTCTGAGAAACTCCCAGATATACCATGATGGTTAACAAGTGTTTCATAAAAAGATCGTATAGGCAGGAGCATTCTAAAATGGTGATGTCTGTAAGAAAAAAAATCGCTGTGTAAAATACTTCATCTGTAGAACTCATTTTAATACAGAAAAAAAAACAACCTCCATTAGGACATATTTGATTTCATTTACCGTCACCTCCTTGTTGGTCACTCGACTTTGGATTGACTACACTTTTCACATCATGACAACAATTACTGTCGGCTTTTCCTACACACATGAAGATACTGGTCGAAACTATTGAACACGGTGAATATTTAAGATCGCCCATTTTGGACGCTATTATCAGGACAAACACTCTCTTCACAGACCTCAGACAAAAGGAACATCATACGTGACAATTTTATGAGACATACGTTTCACGTCCTTTTTTTGGGGAGGCAAAAAAGTTCAATTGTCTTTTCATGTGTTCATGTATGTAAATATTTTCAGAATGTACTCTACTTGTAAATACAGTATTTAAACCAAAACATTGGACGAATTTGAAATCATTATCATTATTTATTGTGGAATAAGCCAAAAATATACTGATCCAGCCCATTTGAGGTCAAATTGGGGTGAATGTGGCCCCCGAACTAAAATGAGTTTGTCACCCCTGCTTTACACCACAAGTGACGTTTTCAGAATTTGTTAGTATCAATAATTATGCAAGTTATTTATCATGCAATCTAATCTAACCTTGAAATATAATTGTTTCAACTCGTGACATCTGCTGGGACAGTGTATTCGTTTTGCCCACAATGACAGACATCTGATTGTAATATATCACTCACGCATAGAACCGCAGATGGAAAAACATCAATTACATGTGGAGGGACCTTGAAAGGGCGTGTTCATCTAATTAGGAATCACACCAAACAAAGAGAAAGTCAGTACAATACAATGAAAAGAAAAACACCCAAAATAACGCAAACTCCGGAACGCAACCACCAAAGAAGGTGCAGAATGATTTAGGTGTCAAGCTGAAGTCTCTCTTTTTATGTCCCTTAATTCTGCAGACAGATGCAACCTGAGACAGGAATACGGCCACTAGTTAAGGGGCATTTGAAAAGAGTGTCCCATAACATTGGTCAACATCAAATTTGAAGCAGAGATGGCTTTGAACGTCTTTAAATGAATTTTTGATTCTGAAACTTTTTTTCAAGCACATCAGATTCTGGAGATATTTATATTTTTTTTCTTTTACGTTTGACCTATAAAACTTTGTGGAGTACACATTTTGTCATTTATAGCTAAAACGCTTCAGAAAAAAAATTCCACCTGTTGCTGAATCTAACCCTCAATGCATAAATCCATCCATCCATTTTCTGATCTGCTTATCTCAGCTGTCTTCGTGCAGTAGGCAGGGTACACCCTGAACTGGTTGCCAGCCAATCGCAGGACACACAAAGACGAATGACCATTGGCGCTCACACTCATACCGAGGAACAATTTAGAGTGTTCCATTAACCTGCCAAGCATGTTTTTGGAATGTGGGAGGGTACCGAAGTACCCGGAGAAAACCCATGCAGGCATGGGGAGAACATGCTAAACTTCACACAAGAAGGCCAGAAGGCCGGAATGGAACCCTGCACTTCAGCACTGGGAGGGCAACGCGCTAACCAGTCGACCACTGGGATGCCCTCAAATCATAAATACTATTAAATATATGACACAATGTCTGTTATTATTATTACAGTATTATTATTATGAAAACCTGATGTGTTAGAGAAAATATGACGGCGGATTCGGAATCGGCGCAAAAAAAATTTACATTTTACTTGCATTTCTGATTAAAAAATGAAAAACAGCCTAATCAAATTTTCCTCGGCCTGTTGCCCTTGTTTGTCCGACGAAAGACTCATGCATTGCTTCTGACACAAGTTATAGCCCATTGACTATTGCACTAAATATTTATATGCAGCTCAACAGGTAGAACATCATTAGCAGTTTGGGAGCTGAGAGTTGCAACTCTGAGCAGAGGCAGAAATGAGAAAATAATGCTCTTCGAGCCGGTCCTCGCAGCTGGCTAACTAGTATCCGCAGCAGTGTCATTTGAATGTTCTCACCAGTCTTTCATGTCTCGGGTTACGCTTAAGCAATCACGGCTTGTGGCGCACGGTGTTACAAAGTGTCCCCTGCCTCACCCCCACTAAGATGAGACTCTCAGGCAGCCCAATAAGATGCAGCCAAAAGGCTCTGGAAACTGGCAGGTCTTTTGTGTGCATATTTTAAGCGAGAAATTGAGTCAGAGGAAGAAGATAAAATGAATAGAAAGAGCCCAAGAAAAATATAAATACCCCTGTAAAAGAGTAAGGGATGGAAAATAATGGGAAAACGAGAAGGGATTGTTTAGGAAAGCCATGATAATAAGAGGGTCTCTCGTTCTGGGTTCCCTTCTGACATCGCCACATTAATAGCTGATTAGCCAGTCAGCCAAATACAGGGCTGCTGGAGGACAACAATCACACAAGTAGGTGTGAAATAAATACCTGCTAACTTAGAAAATACATGCACGCTTAGAATCCTGGGGAGGACCAGTGGAATGTGTATGATCTGAATAGCTCATGAATAGCTCATATATGTTATTCTGTCTTTAAGTATGTAAAATAATGTTCGACATTTTGGTTTTCCTGATGGATAATAACATGTCTTGAGCATTTTGACCGTTCCAGACTAGGCCAAAATTATTTTGACAGAGCTTGTAGAAGCCACGATGACTCAAGGATGAACTAAATTGAGTCAATTTTTGTTGAATAACACCCTTCAGAAATCAAACTTGTCTTTTGCACCGGCTATTTAAAATGCGTTCCTTTTAGAAAATTGTTGCGAGCGGCAGTTTCTGAAAATAGCAGTGTCTACTCTACAGGGTGCAATTTAAATGTGCAGCAGACAGAAGCCACAAAAGTGCAATCATCTTAACAGGGTTCAATGGTGCTTTAAATGAGACCGTGTTATGCACCTTTTCCAATTTCAAACATTTCTCACTTGTTTGATTAAAACGTTTCTGACATATTTTGGTTTGTCTAAATCAGCGCTTCTTATTTTCTGTTACGCCTCATCCTAGGAAGAAGAAACTATTTCGCGCCCCCCAGCTCTCAGCCACGACTATAAACCGTATCATTTGTCTATAATATTCCTTATTTACATTAAAGACAACCAAAAAGAAATATAAAAAGAATAACCACCCGTGTGGGGGTGGTTATTCTTTTTATTATTTGATGCGTAGATGACAAAAGAATTAATGTGGCTGTCTAATTTCACAATTGAAGGGTGGGCAAACACTTGAGAGACTCAACGATTTGTAAACAAGCAGTTCAAAAAAAAGTTTCCATATGTACCATTTGAATTAATTTGGTGGACGTAGTTGTAATATATATCTGTCAGCAATAAATCCCTCTGCGTTACTTTTTCCTACAATGGCAACTCAATGGGCTCTCTTTCCGTAGATAGCGTACATGCACTCAGTGGAAAAACTGGCGCATCTTCCTTTTTGTGCCGGGGCAGTCTAGTTTAGACCACATTTCAAGTGTGTTATTATTAAAATATATTTCTGATTTGCTTTCCCACCATGATAATTATGGTGTTTAACATGCTGGACAACAGCTGACTGATAAACGGACCCATTTAGCCTTCACTCTCTAGCAAGAGATGAAGACAGCTGAATGGGTGATACAGGAAGTTATAACAATCTGCATATAAAGATTGCTTTGACCCTCAGTGTCCAGCCCTTCACCGCCCTGCCCACAGCCTGAGTGGAAGCAACAGATGTTCGGGGAGCCAGAGACAGTGGAGGAGGGGAGTGGTTAGTTGACAGCTGTACAGTTTTTTTTCCATGCCAGCCATTGTCTGGACTGAGGTTCAAACTCTAATTTGTGCCGCACTCTGGCAGGAATGACAATAAAAATAACTTCAGTTCTGTCAGAATGAAAATCTGCAGCCGTATTGACAAATGGAAGATGGTTTTAAGATGCGGCAACCTTATTTGTGTGAAACTCAGACTACAAGTCTTGAAATATAATTAAATTACTTCCTTCAAATGCCTCTTGAGACTGAGTCATTTTTATTTTAAATTAGAATGATCATTTAAAAAAAAAAAATCAACCGTTATAAAATGATAGTCAACATAGTGACCAAATATTTCACTCTTCACTTCATAGCGTTTCCTGATTGCAAGTATTATTTTCATTTGTTCAATCTAATTTGAACTTGGAAGAACATGAAAAGAGAAGGAGAATGTATTTGTTGCTGTTGTTATTTTTGATTAAGAATAATACTAAGACCAAAAAGTCTGGAAAAATGAAAAACAATTTCCCAGATGGGGCCGTGATAAAAGTCAACAAGATTTTAATTTTCATGTCTGATTATAGTACAAGATTAACTCTAGAACTTTCAGGCCTGATGGGGGGGTGGAGAGACTGGATTAGTCGAGAAACAGATGGGTGAGCGAGGGCACACATACAGCATTGTGGCCAGCCAGCGCTGACAACTGAATGTAGGACACGCAGCAGGAAAATGCAAGGTCAGAGAAGACACCGCAAAGGGAAAATACATTTGATTCACATTTGATTATCAATATCAATTTACAGAAACACTAAAAAAAGGACGAGAGATGGGACTGGCTGATTTGTGGCATGTGACACTTTGGAAAGAGGAAAATAAGGCAGAAGAGAAGCACGGGGAAAGTATCGAAACGTCTTTTCCAAATGGCTGCAAATACTGCAGCCAAGTGAGGGGAAATAAGGGACTTGTATTGGTGCAGCAAATGTCTGGAGAGCTGGAGAATGACATAGCCAGCCCTCTCCCTAGGGAAAAAGTGATGAGAGTTGTTCCAAACACTTTGTTGCAATGCTGACAACCAGAAAATTGAAGGAAGGATGACAGCAATTCTAATAGATATTTTTTCAGGTCATGATTTTGAGCTTGTAGGTGTGCAGGCCGAGGCAGAGAAGCACCGAGGTTTCCATGGGAAAGTGCACATCAAATATATTCGGAAAACAGAGTTCTGTTTGCTTCTTTCAAATGCGATGCACTCATTTGATAAGATAAGATAAGATAATCTTTATTTGTCCCACACTGGGGAAATTTGCAGACTACAGCAGCGAAATTGGGGGGAGGGGGAGGGGGTGTAGAAAAGAAAAAAAAAGTGTTGCATGCACAAAATAAATAAATGTTTCAGAACAAGAACTGTCTGTGCTATTTACAGTGGTTACAGGTTTTCACGTATGTTTATTCTTGATTAGTGTACCCTGAAGTAAAACAATCGACCCATTTGACAGATAGGTTACCAAGATGTTGATTTAAGAGTGTTATTGTATAGAAGTCATCCCAGTGGCCGTCTGATCCCATGAACTGTTTATCCTGTACTGTCCTAATCCCATGATTAAAGGTACATTTGACTCCCATCCCGTGAAATTCCCCCCAAAAATGTCAACCTTTAATGTACAATTTAAAGTTCATTTAAGAAGTTGAAGTACTCGTCTGTAGTCTCACCTCCTCATTGGTGTCTTGATGGTGTGAGAGTCCACAAAACAGGGACACTTCAGCGAAAGTAAACCTGTTATTAAACACACCGTCACGTTATTCAGCCTGCGGCTCACACCCCATGACAGACATTCTTGCTGCTTTTGTATCCTAAATCCTTTGCATTTCTACATATTACGGAAGGCTGACTAACACAAAATACATAACACTAGGGAAATTAAATGACAACACTGAGCTGTCCTGGCCAATACGGCATTCAAGAGGAAGATGCATTTTCTGGGTGTAAGCATGGCTAGCTAGCTAGCTAGTTCCACATTGTAGTGGTAGAAATGGGCCAAGAAGTTTTCAAACTGATGATGGATAGCTAGCTAGCTCGCTAGCTAGCCAGCCAGCCCGACCGACGCCCGAGAGAGAGAGAGAGAGAGAGAGAGAGAGAGAGAGAGAGAGAGAGAGAGACTTGCCCATGCAATTAGATAATTGCACCGGATAAGCGTTGATGTGAACATAGGGGCTCAAGTCCTTTCATAGTTGGGGAGGGGCGACCAAGTGCACCACAGGGCCCTGTTTTAGCTAAGCCCATGAAAGCAGATAGAAAGAAATGATGATAAACTGCTGAACGCTTCAGTTCCGCAATTGAGTACCAAATAATATAGTTCCCAGTTTTTGCATGTTTTCAGTCATTATGTTTAAACATGTATATAATGTACATTGAAACAAATCTCTGAATTCATGACAGGGTCTTTAATTGTAACCAGACAAGGGCACACAGTGCAATAATCACGGTCTTTTATCATTATCCTAATTTGTCACAGCAGGATTACAACTGCCTTACTTTAGTATTTAATAATACAGAAACCCCCTCGACTTTAGGAAATCTTCCGTATAGTTGTGACATAACTTCTGTGTTTTAAATGATAGATTTGTTTGGTGTAGCTATGGGGAGCACGAGAATCTTAATAAATGTCCTCCAATATATCTTTTTTCCCATGAACAAATAAGAATCAGTATGGCCACATATTTTTTGTTGTGGAGCCAACCTGTCAATTTGCTGCCTGCATTCTATTGCACATTTTATTGAGCTATTGTCCCCGCAAATGAAACAATGCTCGTGTTCTTGTTTTAGGCTCTGTCTCTGTCTGCAGGCAGAATGCAGCTGCTTGTTTTTTGCTCAAAAACAGTCAGACATTCTTTTGAGCGGCAGGTCTAATGCAGGGGCAATACAGTGCGTGGACCTTATCAAATATTTACAGGTACATCATCTCCCCATCGACCGGTATCTGCCCTCGGTGTTTTGGACAAAAAGCCTGTCATGCGCATGCATGTCATAAACAGTTGAGAATAATTCACTTAAGGTGAATGATTTAGTATATTGATTTGAATCTATGTAGTTGTCATTATATTAAAGCAGCCAAGAGAATCACATTGGGAAATGTAACTAACCTTTTATGTTACATTCATTGCAAACATGTATTGATGTTGTTTATGACTATATGTAAAAAAAAAAAAAAGTATGTAATAAATAATCACCTTTTCATACTACACATTTCATCAGCATTTCCATTATTAATGTATGATAAACTGTCTTTGCTGATTGGCTGTGAGAAATCACAGGGTTCTACTGCCCTGAAGTGAGGAGTTCATTTGAAATAATAAACATTCTCTTTGTGTTGCATGTTCTCCAAGTGCTTGTATATTTTTTTCTCTAACTACGCTAGCTTTCTTTCACATTCTACAATTGCCATTCTCGGGTTAATTGAACACTCTGAATTGCCTAAGGGTGTTAATGTGAGGGTGAATTGTTATATATTTATGCATGGCCCAATGATTCACAGGTGACCAATGCATGATATACCACACCATTTACTCAAATTCAGGGAGCCAACTCACCCGTACTAAAAACGGATGGATAGCTCTGTGCCCTGTTAAGCATTTCATAATCCCTGCTGTCATTACACTAAAATGTCTTCATGTTTTTTTTCGGTTTTTTACATGTACCCATATGTACATTCTTTGGACAAAAGATTTGGGAATTAGATGATGTTTTATGACTACAACTAGACAGACAGCTTAAGTTACTAAAAATTGTAATTCAATTTTCATCTTACCAAGGTATTTTCAAAAATGTGTTGAGATGATGTTTTATGACTACAACTAGACAGACAGCTAAGTTACCAAAAATTGTAATTGAATTTTCATTTTACCAAGGTATTTTCAAAAATGTGTTACTGTGGCAAGGAGCATAAAAACATTGTTGGGTGAATTTTGTGTGGAAGAAAATGAATGAGATCAACCCCATCAAACACCATTTTGGAATGTCCATAGATTGACTTGTCATTCGGGTCCTCTTGTCCAACAACACCAAACTCCTACTTAAGGAAAGGACAAAAAATAAATAAATAAAAAATTCTGAAGCACATTGAATGTGGTTATGTTTTATAAAATGGTGTGATTGGCGAGGAAAGACCTTTCACATATTATTAATAAATATGTTACCGCCTTCTGGTTGTAGCTCCATATTTAATCAAATCGAAATGCATAAATTTCATGCATCACAAATGCAGCAAAAAGTGCTTTACAGCGATAAAAACAGACAATAAAAATGGCAACAAATACTCAGTTTAAAAACCCATCCCTGCACATTCAGACGCACACACACACACCGCACACACAGCCCATATTACCCGATAGTGTCGAAACACGGCAAGTCACTGAGGACCCAGGTGAGGAAAAACTACCCATGGGAGCCATCCACAGCAAGTGATGCTAAAGCCCTCAACCACAGAGGATGCCGCCGCTGACCCGGGTACACCAGGGTGAACTCTCCACAACGTGCTGAGCCCCCCAGACCTTGGATCTGGAGAATAAGCAGAATGACATCCCAGCAGGCATATCGAACACACTTCCCAGCCTGGAGGCTCCCATAAGGAGACAATGGAGTTCAACTTCAAAAGACTTAAAGACCATAGGACACGATTAAAAACAAACAAAAAAACTAAAACAAAAAAACCTACAATAGAATACATTTTAAAAAATACTTCAAAACCAAGTGTGTTGGAGTAAAATGCAGATTCCCAAAAAATGCCATATTACTGAGCAGTTAGATGAGCAATGAGAACCACACGCCCTATTGGCAACTTTTTGTTGAATATACAGTGACACACACGCACAGAACACCCAGGCAACAAACGTCGCCCTTTCCACGTATCCACATCTTGGAGTTTGATTGTAAATGGTCACTCAACCAGGTAATTCTTTGACAATGAATAAAATAAGATGTCATTACTTTCAAGCTGTCACTTGTGAAAGAAAAGTAAATGAGCACACGAAAAACGTGTATAGCTCACGGATGTCATTATTTTTGAGCTGATCATCCAAAAGGCCCACATAAACGCTTGGCAAATAAATTTTGTTCAAGTGATCAGGGGGAGGTTCAGTTCTATGACAGTGTGGGGCATTTGAAGGAGCTGAAAATAAGTCTGGCTATCATCACAGGAAATGGCGCAAAACATCCATTTTTCTGTCTCCCTGTCACCCATCATCCTTGCAGGTGCTCTCTTTTTTTGTTCATTCAACCTTTCTCCTCTTTTTCTGCCTCCTGAGCTTCCTCATCTCCCCAAGTCTTCTTTCACTTTTCATCTCTTCACACAGTAAACTTGCCGTTTTTTTTTTTTTCTTGGCTTCACCTCAGGATATTTCTTTTTTCAGTTCTTCGATACTCAAGGTGTTTTCCATTATTTTGGTATTTATCCAGCCTCTTATGCGCTTTCCACACATACATGGTTATTTTCAAAAAATACAATTTCTCCACTTTCCATGTCAATGGGAAAATAGAAAAAGTGAAAATAATCTCCATTCACATGCACTAGTGTAGGTGCCAAAGTGACGAGTAGAACTTTAGATGAAAGCCCAGAACACTGACGAATATCCTTTCCCAAAAAGGCAAAAATTAGCATAACTAGAATAATGTTCATTGGAGTGGAGACTTTTTTTCGATAAACTTTTCAGTATAAAGTTATTTGTCCAGTTGCTCTCTACATTTCCCCCAGTGGAACTGAAAGGAATTGAAAGGAAGAAAAAAAAATTGACGAATTCTGTTGTGTGTCCCCTTTGTGAGCACACAAAAAAAAAAAACTGAATTATTATTAATGCACTTGTCATGTATTAATGTATTAATGTCATGAACACTGACAATTCCACTCCCTTTTTTATTCACATTTGAATTGGAACGAATGCAGCCTGGCTTTTAATGCTTCTTTTCTTGGATTTGCTGTTCATAATTTGTGATTTTCTAGATGTTAGCAAGCTTTTTATACCATCCCAATTCCAATGAAGTTGGAACATTGTTTTAAACGTCGATAAAAACAGAATACAATGACTTGCAAATCATCCATCCATTCATCAATTTTCTGATCCACTCTCTCCTCACAAGGGTAGTGGGGTGTGCTGGAGCCTATCCCAGCTGTCTTCGGGCAGTAGGTGGGGAACACCCTGTACCGGTTGCCAACCAATCACACAAAGACGAA